GCCCTCTCTTTTCTCACGCATTCACTCACGTCATTATCATCACCATCATCATCATCTCTTTTCTTCGGGCACTCACTCAATCACTTGCTCACTCACTTACCCACCGCACACGATCACTCTATCACGCAATCAATCACCCACATTCAATTATTCACACCATCATCATCAGTCACACACATTCGCCACGCACGATCACTTTGACACGCACTCAATCACCCACGCGCCATCATCACTACTGGCCTCACTCACCATCACAACCATCACCATCGCTCACATCATCACTCACGCACACACGCACACCCAGCCACACACATCATCAACAACAACGTCATCATCATCCTCATTGGCCCACTCACAACCACCAACCACATCTGAGGACGTCTCGACCGGGAGCCTCTTCCCTGAGCGAATTGCGAGGAGATCTCAGACGGGACCCCCCCCCCCTTATGGGGCGCGGGCACTTTTGGGCTCCTCGTGCCTGAATTTGGAAGAAATCACAGTCGGGTACCTCGTCTGTGAGTGGATTGCATGAAAATCTCAAGCGGGAGCCCCCTCGTTATGGGGCCCGCGTTTCATGTTGGTAATCCGGGCGGGTCATCGGCCCCCTATAACCGTCGTCATGTTTGGGGTCTTCAGGCTTGAATGTGGAGAATGTTTCAGGCGGGAGCCCCGTCCGTGAGTGAATTGCGAGGAAGTCTTAGGCGGGAGCCCCCTCGTTATGGGGCCCGCGCTTCATGTTGGTAATCCGAACGGGTCGTCGGCCTCCTGCACGTGTCGTCACTTTGGGGCTCCCCAGGCCTGCATTTGGAGGAGGTCTCAGGCGGGAGCCTCGTCTGTGAGTGAATTGGGAGGAAATCTCAAACGTGAGCCCCCTCCCTATGGGGCCCGCGCTTCACGTTGGTAATCCGAGCGGGTCATCGGCCCCTTATGCCCGTCGTCATGTTTGGGGTCCTCAGGCTTGAATTTGGAGGACGTCTCGGGCGGGAGCCCCGTCTGTGAGTGAATTGCGGGGAAGTCTCAAGCGGGACCTTTTTCCTTATGAAGCCCACACCTCACTTGCTTTCTCCAGGTCGTCCTTTGGCGCGCGTTTCCTCTGGGTCGTCCTCCGGCGCGTAGCCGCTGAGACGCACGTCGTGCGTTTCCTTTAGGTCGTGTTCCGCACGAGGAAGAGGAAATGCAGGAGGAGGAGGAGGCAGGACGAACATGAAAAGGAGGAGGAGGAAGAGGAGGGGGAGGAGGAGGCAGAAGGGGAACGGCACGATGATGATGATGATAATGATGATGATGATGAGGAGGAGGAGGAGGAAGATGAGGAGGAGGAAGAGGAGGAATGCCCAAGGAGGCCCCAAGGAGGAGGAGGAGAAGAAGAAGGGGGAGGACAATGGAGACGAGGAAAAGGAGGCGGAGAAGGGAGAGGAAAAGGAGGAGGAAGGAAAGGGGAGGAGGAGGAGGATGAGGAAGAGGCGGACCAGTGTAAACCCAAGAGCCGTCAACGATGTTGGAGTAAACCCTCCGTCCAAGCTCCCTCTTCATAGGCCCCTACAGTATGGTTCATTTCCATTGATGGAACTGCTTCGTTGGAAGACGCCGGCTTGAAGACCCTGAAGCATGCCAAAACATTGTTCTCGGGATTCCAACGCCACGGATCAACTTGACCGTTGCGGCTTGGCGATCCTGGACCGTACCAGAACGCCATTTCTAGGATTTCAGCACAAACCATCAATGTAACTGTTGCGCCCGCGTAATCCTGAATACTGCCGAACACCATGTCTGGTACGTTGATGATGGGAGTCCGTGAAATTCTGGCATTTTATGTTAAAGAAATGTACGCCGCTCTGAAACGACAACCACATTTTGAAAAGGAGCCGCGCTCAATCCGTGAATCTCTAGCAGCAAAAGCTTGAAACGAATGTGCGCCGCGCTAAGGTGAGAGCCCCATGTTGGAAACCACTCGCCCTCAAGCCGTGAAGCTCTTGCAGTTTTAAAAAACGAATGTGCGCTGCGTTGGGGCGAGAGCCGCATGTTGAAAACCACCCGCCCTCACTCAGTGAAACTATTGCAAATGTTTGAAACGAATGTGCGCGGCGCTATAGCGAGAACCACATTTTGAGAGCCACCCGCCTTCAATCGGTGAAACTCTTGCGAACTCTTGAAAATAATGTGCGGCGCGCTCACGCGAAAACAACATTTGGGAAAAACCACGCGGCCACCATATGCAAAACTGTTGCCACTTTTTAAGCTTCAGAGTTACAAATGGTGAGGAAGTCTCATGCGAAACGCCCGGTCCGCCCTAAAAGCTGGCCTCGGGGTGCGACAGGGAGCATTTAATTATAAGGGGAAGGAATGGAGGAGGGGGAACAGGAGGAGGAGGAGGAGGAGGAGGGAAAGGTAGAGGGAAAAGGAGGGAGAGGAAAAGGAGGAGGTAGTGGGGGAGGCAAGAAAAGGAGGATGCAAGGGTTGAGGTAGGAGGAGGAGCAGGCAGGAGGAGAAGGAGGAGGCA